TAGTAGTAGTAGTAGTAGTAGTTTAACCTCCTCTTGCTCCTCTGTTGGCTGGCTAAAGTATAAGAGGCACTCAACCGATTAACAATTTACCAGAATGAGGACAAATTAGCTAATCGGTCAGATTTGCCTTTTCCTAACACTAACAGTCACACAATTGTGTGTAAACATTTAAGTGCGTGTTTCTTGAAACTACCGATTTTTCAAGTGGATTTTTATCCTGTCCATAATGACCATCTTCTGAGGTGGCTGTGACACTTTCTCTTCATTTCCTTGTGCACAAGATTCCGACACATTTTTCTTTTTCCTACCTGGGTTTGACTACGCTCAGCACAATCGTCTTGGCTTGCTTCTCAATCGCCCCTTGAGCGCCTATTCCTTTGTTTAACACATCTAGATGATACGGGTCTGTCCTTTTTGTAAAACCTGGTCGGACCAATTGTGTACGACGAAAAAAGCCTGGTATCAAAATAAAGGCCGCATCCTATTGGTCTTAACACCTCAAATGTGTGGTTGAATGCTGAAAAAGAGGAAAATTAACGGCCCTTAATGCTTGATCTATTTCGAGTTTCGTCAAGGAAAAAGGTTAATTTCTCTTTCACTATTTCTTTTTCACTCATACCATCTTTTGGCTGGAGATAGCCTAACTCAACCTAACGGAGCACAAATCGAAGTCCTTGCTTTGTGGCACGAGTCAGCTACTTTTGAGTTCATGTCTCGTCATCCAGTCATGCCATTCTGATATTATTATTATTTCAGGCCTGGTTCTTTTTGTCGACTTCAGCTTCTTCCATTACAGCCACACACCGCAGACACGCAAACTTTTGCAAATCTGATAGAGTCCTTAAATTCAGCATAATTTGGCATAAAGCATTTGGTGAATAAACTAACATGAATAAACCACTCGTCCTTGCCATCTTCATCTCCCATGCACAAATGTGGCCTCAGGTGGAGCTCTTTAAGCCTACGAATAGAAGTGGCCTTGGCTTCAGCATAGTCGACGGAAAAGATGTCGTGGAGACTCAGATACTGACTGGCATCTACGTGAATCGGGTGGTGCCAGGAGGTGTTGCTGACATGAGTGGACAAATCCTACCGGGCGATCAAGTGGTACAGGCAAGTGTGATTGGCCCATTCTCTTAGCCAGTGTTGATTGGCTCACTATCTTCTCCTGCGTTGATTGGTTTAGCCCCCTAATCCAGTTTTGATTGGTCCACTTTCGATATTTCCAATACGGCCTCCATTATTTGTGGCTTTCAAAGCATGTAGTATTTTATTTTTTTAATTACAGATATACATTTATTTGACATTATATTTTTGCCATTAGAACTTTGTTGTCTTGCTTACATTCACATATAGTGGGATTCTGGTGGAAAATGTAACTACCGGAACTTCATCACCTCATGCGACGAAGGTTGAGGCCAATGGCTACTCAGGCCCATCTTGTCCTAGTGGGACAGAGTATGTGTGAATGTGAGTAGCGTAGTCCATTTTATCGATAAATACAACGCCGGTTCACTACGATTGAGTCATGGGGCGGGCCTGGC